GTTTAGTTCTGATGTAAATACAATAAAAATTAAATCAAGATTTAGAATAATTACCATTTTGATCCATACATTGGTAATGTCTGACTGGGCCTCGTGTCACTTTATGTTCAATAAATTGGGCCCCGAGGTCAAAAAGGTTAAGAACCCCTGAACTAGAGTGTTCTAAACTTGTTAAAKGTTATGGGCAACACTGTCTTTTGTTTCTTAATTTAACTTTTTTGTGAGCAAAATGTTACCAAAACAGCGCAGTGTATCAGATTTGATACAAAAATATCTCATAAACAAAAGTGATGTGGAAATTTTTTTTTTGGGATTTTGTTTAAAGGACCAATAAGCATGTCTGTTCTAAAAAAAAAGAGAATTTTCGCACTGTTTTTTAAAGGGTCAGGCTTTATAGGGCTTAGTCAGTTTATCAGTTTAGCATTCAGACTCTATCAGGTGTTGTTGTTATAATATGAACAGAATGAGGCTCAGTATGGCCATCCTTAGGATGAAAATTTCTCTTTACACAAGCTGTACTGTAAAGTGACTTGTTACCCTGAAAATACCATGTACACACTCATCAAGATCAAGTACAGGGTTATATTTTGTATTGCTACCAATAAAACTCCTAAATTCTTAGCAGTTTCGTAACTATAACAGTTATATTCCTGCACTAATCTTCTACAAATCACCCCAATATTTTTATTGTCCAGTGTAACCACTGCTCAGTTGAGTATGTGACAGTAAAGTACTTCTTCTAGTCTTCTTGCAAAAATAAAAAATAAAAAAAAGTGGAATCTCTTTTCACCTGTTGCCAGTTAACTCAATGTGCTGCAAAGTGTTTGCTCTGGAAATAAACAGGTTTGATTTCAAGGTCTAAAAGACTCACTGCAATACAGCTTTAATCTTTGACATTTTACGGCTTGAGTGAACATTGTTTTAAGATGTTTCTGTGTCTTGTGTCCTCATCAGTCCCTTGCACTGAAAGAAGGCATCCTGACATGGCTCACGTCCAAGGAAGCTTTTCAGCATCTCCATTCCATCCACAGAACCGCCAGGTTCCAGGATCACCCTCCTGTACTCTTTTCCAACCTGGGAGAAAGACACGTGCACACACAAACAATTTACACAAAATGAGATTGAATTAAAATTAAAAAAAGGAATCTTTTCAACCGACCTTTGGATTCATGATGCCTTCCTTTTTAAAACGACTGAAAAAAATGTCCATTGAGTAGACTTCACTCCAAAGATAGCTGTAGTACAGACCATCATATCCTCCAGCCAAGTGGCTGAAGCTGGCTGTCATATTTGTACCTGCAAACAAATATTTGTTTACAGAAGAATCATTTTACAATATGCAAACAGAGCCAATTAAACACGACAACAGTGTAGGGGTCACCTCGAATGAAGAAACAGGAGTTACTGCCTCAAAGCAGGTCTCGGAAAGGCCTGGCAGAAGGCAGGAACACTGAACTCTATTTTAGGCCATGATGGGTCATTTCAACCTACASGAGGACTTCAGTTCTCTTAATCAGATATTAAACAGAAACAATCTGTTCTGTTCGTGATTCATTTGTTGTTTAACTAAGAATGTTTATGCATCTGTTAATCATAATAATGACATGTCACAAAGAAGAAGAATCACTTCTATTCTTTTATCGCGCCTAAAAAAGATTAATGAATGGTATAAAATCACAGAAAATCATCACCATGTTTTCATTGTGTTTTTATATAAATCACTGTGTTATTTTACTGGAAACATCAGTAATATAATTTTGAGTTTTCTTAAGAAAATCTTACATTTATCTGGACACAAGTTCAGACTGATTATTTAAACAGAAATGTTAATTAATCATCATAAATGTTTTACAGTGATTCCTCTTACAGTCTATCAGAAGAAAGCTAGAGAAGATATTATCAAATGTCTGTTTAAAACATCTACAGAGCATGACCTTCACTGGCGCCTCTGGCAAAGCCTTATCTCTTCTTTCCTTTCTGACTCATGGCTCTAACGCTGGAAGGCGGATCTAAGTCGTCCCTCTTTCTTACTAACACGGACGTCTTAGAGAGACACAGCACAGTTCTTTCCTGGATGCCGAAACGGGAAGAGGGGCTGATTCTCTCTCCGGAGGACAGCCGGGGCCTCGGATTTCACCCATCCAGCCAAATAGGGGAAATCTGACGGCCGGGACAGAGGCAAGCCGCCTTCTGTCCACCTGGAGACATAAGTCTCCTAAAAGTGTTTTCAACTCCCGAGGGGAGACTTTTATTTTGAAGGACGACCGGAGCCACAGCTGGAATCTTTCTAGCCGGGCTGAAACAGACGAAAAGTCACCTTGAAACACCTTTTCGCCAAGGACCAGCTTGGACAAGCTTCCTGGGGGGTCGTTGGTGAGACAGTTCCCGCCAGGGGTGCTCGAGCAGCCATCACCAGGTAATGCTGACGTGTTCGTGGGTGACGTGTCAAGTTGAAGCTGAGAGKAGAGAGGACGTGCTGGACCGGTTGTCACAGATACTTTCCAAAATAAAAGCAGAAACACTAATCCTTAAATTTCTTACCTTTTCTTACCCTTTATCCTTTGCCAACCCTAAGTGAAAGTGCCAGTAAATTGTTTAGTTATTCCATCAGAGCTGACGTTTACTGTTCTATATAAGTAATCTGAGTTAATGTGAAAGAAAAGTCGGACGCGGGTTTTTTATCTCATTTTAACTTGGACGCTATTATAGGAAGTCCACAATCAGGTGTAATTTATGGTTTGTTCAATTTGTGTAAATAAATGATTGCATAATCTTTTATGAATCAACTTGAACTRGTCTGACGTTCCCTCATTGTGTCACTTCACTTTGTACAGACAAATATTAAAGTAATGAGGAAAACCTTGGTAAAATTTACTCTCATAACTTTGTTATGGGAAGATGTAGGGGGAGCCTTATTMTAAATAAGTAACTCACTCCTACAACAGAAAGTGAGGTATTTACTGTATTTGCTCCTAAAGGAGATGACTAGAGTTGAGCTTTGTATCTTTATTTGAAATAAAGTTTGTTCATTTGTAGAAGCTGTTACTATTTTGCAGACCATGTTTGAAAAAGAATGTGTATACAGTCTTGAAAAAGTATTTACAAACCTTGAACTTTCCACAATTTGTCACGTTACGACAAACTTTCAAGTGTTTTGCTGGGATTTTATGTGATAGATAAATAAACACAAAGAAGCCATAACAGACCTTTCCCACAAAGCCCCGCCCCTTAGTTTCAGTTGCTATGCCCGTCAAGCTTTCTGTAGCCGATGGAGTGTTTGCAGTGCGTGCTAGTGACTCGTTTTGGAGCAATACCTGCAATATGCTCCAGATCAAGACAAAGGGGCTTACAATATGTAATGGAGGGATATAGTCAAAATATTACAATACTTAACGAAGAAGACACAATAGTTCTTGGGGCTAAAGCATACTGGTCTCAAGCCAAATTGGAAAAAACCCATGAACTTTATCTCAAATGCAACCAGAACACCCTTGTGGATACTCTGTGTTCATAGATATAGCTAAGTCATGCTCCTGCACTGCAGGGCAAGTTCTCTTTTTAAGTTAGCTATGTACTGTATTGGTCAAATATGATTGATACCGGTAGGTTTGCTAGTTCAGCTAAACTGTCCTAAGAGGCTAGTTGGTTACTCTGTGATCATGGATATAGCTAAGGTTGTATGTCAAAAAAACTCATGTGCAGTTGCTCTAAGTAGCTACTTTCGTAAATTATTGTCAAAAGCATTAGAAAAGAACATCTGCTAATGTTGTCTTAAAGAGGCAATATTATATGTTTCTCAGGCATATATTTAAATACTATACCATAATAAAGTATCTATGTCACATTTAGCTGTTATTAAAATGCTGTTTTTATGTTTAAATAGAAAATAAACTTATCTTCTCATCACTTCCTCTTTAAACGCCTTGAAATTGGCCTCTGTCTCTTTAAGAACCACCTTCCGCTTCTGTCTCGCCCATTTCAATGTGTGTGTGTGTGTGTGTGTGTGTGT